ACATAAGGGAATATTAATGATTAAATAAAAGCTACTTGGCATGACTACGCCAGCATTTAAAAAAAAAAAAAAAAAAACAAATTTTAAATCATTAATTATGTAGTTAAAATTATTATTATCTTTTTTTTAATACTTGTGATCAGGCCAGTACTGTGTGTTTATTAATCATTAAGAAAACTGATTGAGATACATAAGGCAATTGCATCATGACTAAACTAAAATCTTGTACTGACACACTCGTCAATGGCTTTCAATTCTCAAAAAAGCTTCAGCCTCTAAGTGTAACCTTGGAAATAATATTTTACTTCAAACTAAGTTTTGGGTGAAGACTCTTCTAACTTACCCATTATTGCTAGCAGGTTGTCACTGCTTATTATCCTCCAAGGAACTGAATTTGAGAAACTACAAAAGGAGAAAGGAAAAATAAAATGAAAGGGGAATATCTAAAAATGTGCAAACACACTTACATGAAAATGAAAAAAGAAAAAAAGAAATTTAAAATTGCTCCATGTCCTCCAAAGGACCTCGGCTAGAAATTTCTTCTCATTAGAAATCAACCCTTCTGGGATATTCTTCTTCTTTCTGACGGTCTGAGAAACTTATTCATCCGTACTCTTGATTATTTTCTTGTGACTGTTTGAGATACTTATCACCTACTCGGATCCAGTGTCTTGCTCAACGTTTTCTTTCTTTCAGTCTTGATTTTTTATCCATTCGTGCAATACAAAACAGTTAATGGTGAATCCCAGGTTCTTATGTAGTTTTTCAGTCTTGTTGTGTAACTTTCGATATCTTTCAGCAGCCACTTATGTATTTAAAATTACAAAATTTATATATATTACATATTGATACTTATTTTATTTCTTATATTTTTTAAAAAAATTTTCTATTAATATATTTTAAAGTTTTATTATTGTTAAATATCTTTGTTTTTTTATTAATTATTATATGATTTATAATAGCAGCCAATTAAAATTTTCCAAAAGTAAAGAAAGAAATTTTTTAACAATAATAAAACTTTAAAAATTACATATATAAATTTTTTGAAAAAAATATAATAAATAAAACTAGCATTTATAATTTAAAAATTGTTCAAGTTATAATTTATAATAAAATCATAGTAAGTGGACTCAAACTTTTGAAAGCAATTGTATATAGATAAAAAATATTAACTAATAAAATGATAAAGTTTTTACAATATAATATATTATTATTAATAAAAAATAATAAAAAATAATATAAAATAATATAAAGAAATATTTAAAAAATAATTAAAAAAAAATCAGAAACAAGTGTTGCATAATTGTAATTAAATAAAAAAGGAAAATCAAAATCTTTAAAAAGTTTATAAGATAATAATACTTAAATTATAAGATTTCAAAAAAAAATATTGATTTTCTATGGATTAATAAATTTTATAAAAGTTTAATTAATTAGAATTAAATAAAAAAATACCTGAAATTATAAGAGAATGGATTTTTTAAGATAATAGATAGTTAAAGTTTTAACTTGCAAACAAATTTCAAAAAATTTATAGTAATAAAATATAAATTAATAAACTTTAATAATAAATAAGTTAATATGAAAATTAACAATTTATAAAATATTTTATATATAATATATTATATAAGAAAAAAAGTTATATTAACTTGTTAATAAATTAAAAAAAATTTTTTATTAGATTTTTATTATAATTTAATTTTAATATAATAATTAATTTTTTGAAATAATCAATTGCAACAAATAATTAATAATAATCTTAAATAAATATAGTATTTTATAAAAAATTTGAGAATATTATTTATATAATATAAATATGTATAACTTTTTCAAAACAAAAGTAATTCACATGAAATTTTAAATATGTAAACAATGTAGTTCAAATAATATTGTATATATAGGTATTTAAAATTATTTGATCATTTTATTTTTGTTAAAAACTTATTTTTATAATATAATTTTTTAAAAAAATACCTAATAACAAACTATATTATATTTGTGAAATAATAGAATTACTTCTGCATATGAAATATATTTCAAAACTGATATAAACATATCAACTATTTATTGTAATCTCAAAAGATTAAATTTAAAAAACAATAATTTAAGAAAATCAGATAGTTGTTATCCTAAAAAGATTATAACATATAAATAAAGAGCAATTGGTCAATATTTATATCATAATTTAAGATTTTTCTCAAGAATTATGATAATTCAATTATTAAATATTAATACAAAAATATTATATTTAATAATTTTAAGACATTCGGTCAATTTGGATTACAAAAATAATTTTTCTTTAGAAACACCTATACTTATTATTGCTTATAAAGAAGCTTGCGTTATTTAAGAAAAAAAATATCTTGATAATAATTGAAAAAAAATATTATTTTCTGATGAAACAATATTTCAACTATTTGGAAATACAATTATTCAATGGTATAAAGGTGCAAGACCAATTAGAAGAGTACCTAAAGATACTAAAATCCTTGCATGGCGAGTATTTTATGAATAAATAATAAATTATAAAATTTTTTGCACCATACTGTATATTTATACAGCATACAGTATATTGTTAAAAATAAAAAGATACGTAGATTAACTTTATGATACAAAAATTTGTTTGATGACTTTATTAATATACTGTATATATAGTATATTGTATACAGATATTCTAAATAAAAAAATTGTAATCTTTCGAATCTTTCTTACATATAGAGTCAATTTTTTAATTATATTTCAATTCGAAATTTGATTCATCTTTCTTGCATATAGAGTGTAGATATTGAAAAGATCAATTATATTTCAATTCGAAATTTGATTCATTGTTTCTTTATCATTGAATTTATCAAGTGGAAACATAAAATCAATTCAATAATTGATAAAATAAAATTTCTGGTATTATCGAAATGGATAAACTTTTTTTCTTCTATCAAAAAAATGCATATGCGTGTGCATATAATGTATACACGGTATTGGAATTTCATATTGTCATACAATAAACATTACAATAGGCTAATCTATTTGCTAATGCCGCTTACTGTACGGTGGTTTAAAATAGTAACAATTTTATAAGTGCCCCGATTTACCGCTTGTGTGTGCAGATTATTTATTATTTTTTTATGTGGTTTTAAATTATAAAACAAAATCAGTTTCAAAAAGAGAACTTTCTCGTTTAACTGATTGCTCAGCACTTTCACATTCTTCTGCCCGTAATTAGTTTCTCTTTGACTAAGAAAAAAAATCTTCTCACAGTACTGCGCATGCACGTGCACAAAATAAAGAAGCGCATTTTTATGTATTGCAGGTTGTAGGTTTATATTGAGCTAACGTTATGAGACTTTCGACACGCCAAGCATACATACACACGACAATAGATCGTTTTGAATGTCTTGTTCTCTTGGATAGATGATGTTTGTTTTTTGACGTCTGGTGCATAAAGAGTGTGATCCATAGGTCACAGGGAAAGAAAGGTACGATTTATTTGCATTTGTTTTATTTGTTATCCGGTCAGATCTAAGTGTGTATAGAAGATATATACACACTATATGCCATGCTACGTATTTGGGATGGCGAGTGTATAAAATTAGCGAGGGATGACGAGAAAACACGACCTCTAGATCTATACGGGATGGTCGCACACACATTCAAATAGAGCACGCAATCGCGCTGTGAAATGATTATGTCATCAAGGAATTGGCGGAACCGGGCAGAGGATGATAGTCATCGTCATCATCATTATTATTGTTGTTGTTATTGTTATAGGGTGTGTGTTTCCGTGTGGCAAAAGACATATTTGGAATGCATAAATAAACTGTAAATGATGTTGTAAACACAATAGCTCAATAAAATTCTAATTTTAGGCAATGATCTGGTAACGCCGAGGTGATTGTTTCAGTTGTGCGTGTAGTTCAAGTAATACAACGGAGTTAGCCATTAGCCGGTACGTATGACGCTATCAACGCAGGTAAAGTAAGCTTCGCTTGGCATACCTTTAGAATTCGTCCTCAGATAATGTATTGTACATGCATACAGGAATCTTTTTTGGGAAATAAGCTATGGCGCATTAAACGATGGGTTCTATTGATTGATTGAGGCTCGCAGGTAGGTGTACGAGTTCACGTTCACAAGTAATGCGAGCAAAGGTATCGGGAATTGAATGGATGGATGCACAGGATTCTTATTTGTTTGGAAGAGCCTTAAGGATTTTCAACAAATAAAAATAATGCATCAAGCTCAATTTTGAAGAATAAAAAATTTTTTTTTCTGACGGAGGACCACTAATAATGAAATCTTATGTAATATCGCATAAGCCAGAATTTTTTTTTTTTCATCGTCGAGAACGTGTTGATTAGATTGATAACGAAAACAGTAGGTGAAATAATGAATTGATCAACACACTTGTTTATTATTATTATTTTTATTATGGTAAGAATGTTGTCACCTAAGGTAATACGATATTTGCTAAATTCCTTCGGTATCAATGAGAACCCTCGAAATCATGCGTGAATCCTGCGAATTGATAATTTTAACGAAATTGATTGCACCTCTTTGTGATGTGGGTTGGCGGCGGCGACGATAGTGTGCTCATTTAATAGTTTCTTTTTTCTGTCATCAGGATGCATGCAGTAATAATAATAATAATAATAATAGTAAAAGTTGACTTTTATATTAGTACAATGATTTTAATTGCATTCGACAACTCCGACGAAAATGTACAAGTGTGTTTCAATCGAGTTTTAGAAAATTAATATTGATCTTTGGGACAGATGAATCAAGAATAAAGTAAGATAGATGAGGGATGCCTTAATTATCGTACCTGCAGCCATCATGAGGTTTCACCGCTTGTTTTCCCTGCGTGCAGGGCAGTGCGGAATCCACCAATGACACAACAATGCGAACACCATGGGTGGCACCCCTTATTAGTTATTATTTATCATTATTATAGAGGCATTCTCATTCTCATCTCGTGATAACGAGCTTCCCCATTCAAGGATCACGTTCGAAGGAACGGTCATCATCAAAGAGTGAGGATAACTTGGAGATATCATCATCTTGTGTGTGATTTGGTTCCGGAGCGGGGGGAATACACACGAGCACCGAAAGTGAGCAAATCGACTCGAAATACATGAATATTTGTGGAGAATATGATGTCATCAATACCAGGAGGATTATATAATCCCGGATATTAAATTTTACACGTACAGTTCGTAGGTGTCGCATTGTATTACGCATTCACAATTAACATTAGTTCTTGTGTGCGATTCATCACATCACATCTGTTGCGGGCGGTGGGTCTTTACCAATTGGAGGAGACGACGATGCATTTGCGAGCGTCTTTCACCCTTCTCCCTTACTTTTGACGAGTCACACGGCTGAATTCGTGGAATAATTTCTTCTAAACGGTTATACTTCGAATTTTTCGCCGATCCCCTAAATACGATGTACGCAATGTTGGTGTGTTTGCATATTTAATATGGCATAGGTTGAGTGAGTGGTGGTGGGCATCACCAAATACGGTATGACATTAATAATAAATGTTGACAGTAATATAAACAAATATCAATATGCTACATATATATACTGTTACATACGTATGTATAAATATTAACAATGTACGGTTGGGCTTGTGCGTAATCATTTTTATGGATGGCTGTGCAATGATATCATTGTATACAGAGTTTTTTTTTTTACACAAATAAAAAAAATTTTTTTTTCTTTTTCCCTCTGTCCTTTGGTTTTCTCGCCCTGTCTTAACTTCGTCGATTTTCCTTTTTGGTACTAGCGGAAAATGATATCATTAAGACCATTCGCACATTGATTAGTTCACAACTTTCATTTGGGGTTTCCAAGGTCTGACTGAATATTTGAAACAATTATTAATTGATCTTCACCCCTCCTGACCGACCGACGCTCGATTTGTGCTTTAAACTTTTTTTTTTTATTTTTTTTTATATTCCTTTGATTCCATCTGCTAATTAATTCTGTTTATCGCACATCACGATTGGAAAATTTCCCTAATGCATTTTAAG